GCATTATGGTCTTGGGTATATTGGTAATATGGTCTTTTAGATAATATCCACAAACAGAACCCACATCTTTTACCAATAGTTTTTACTGAAATGAAATTTTCTGACAAAGCCAGATATCCATATAAAATGTCCATAAAGCAACACGTAGGCAAAATATAATTTTCTTAATATTTTTTCATTGGATAATTATGTTAATATAACTTTTGTAATAAAGAGAAGGAATGTTAATTAATGTTCCAGATGTATGAGGAATTTTTTGGTATTATAAAGGTCAAAGGAATATAATAATTTTATTAAACATTTGAGAACGTATTCGGTAAATAACTATAAATAGCTTCGACTTCCTTGCTATTAATAACCTAATTAGTAAGATAAAAGAATGTATATGGTTCGACGCCAAGCCGGCTCAACCGGAGTGATACCACGGCCCCACAGAAAGCCGATGTAAAATAACGCTTGCGTTGTGTTTCGTCGTTTGATTCATATTACCGGAGCTATCCAATTGCGAGTTACCCAAAAATGTTCCCAATCCCCGAATCCCAACAATCCTCCACCGGCAACGAACTTGTTACGCCTCTGATGGTTTGAGTGTCTATTGTTTACCATTAGATGATCCGTCTGCTCGTTTACCAGCTTATAAAAAAGGTACATACACTTCGATAATTGTGACTACAACAAAATTTAGATAGACATTAAAAATACGCGCCTAGTTGTTGCTAGTTGTATTAAGTACCACGTTATTAAGTAATAGTGGGGAGTCTAAAAAATAACCTGGAGTCATCTATATATAGGTCCTACTAGTACTAAATACTGACACAAACTTTAAAATTAAACCATTCTGTACTGCCTCGTGGAACTCTTTGTTTGATAAAATACGATAATCAGAATAATCCGATATGAAGTCTAACTTCCATATTGCAAAACTTAATTAAAATGTAACCGCTTCACAATAAGCATAGTGATTTTCAATACAAAATAGAAGAATGGGTGTTTAATTGAAATCTATTCAGTTATAGACTTCCTATAAATAGGCGTCTCCTGGAATAGAATAGTTGATTATCGCGTTTTAATATTATTATGAAAGATTTCTCGGTTCAATCCCAAGACTTTGGTTAGAAGTACTGAGATTTAAAGGTTACAGGTCGTCACAGTAATTTAAATAGAAATAAATAAATAGAAATCTACACGTTTTGCTTAAATCAAAAGGATTATGAAAATAAATTTGGTCTAGTGTACGATGTAATGTACGATGTAAGCCAGGGAAAAGTAGAGGGATCCAGATCACGAGGCAGAGCACTTATGCGCTGGACTGATCTACTGACTAATATTAATTAATTATCGTTTAATAAAAAATTATTGGTCGTTCGTGTGTGTTTGTAAATGCAACTTCCACATAAACAAACATCAATTTCTGTATGTTCAACAGTCGTTTGTCCAGCAATATAGACTACCACATGACAGAAGAGGTTCAATAAGGCTGATGCCGATACGGAGCTGTGGAGGACAGTCTTGCCGAGCTCGAAGTCTCGGAGTAGAAACAAAGTGGTTTTTAGTCAGTAACAGTCTGACACTCTCTCTCGCCTCACCCGGGCGAGAAAAGACATTGGATGACTCTCTCCACCAAAAAAAAGTCATAGCGTTAAACGGGCAGACAATTTAGTTTTAACTAAATGTTTCAATTGATTTGATATTGTATTTATGCGAAAACTGAATGTTATTTTCTATATTAAAATCTATAGGAGGAGACATATCCCATTCGATATCCAGTAGTAATGTAACTAAATCATGCGTTAACATAATCCGGTTAGAGGACAATGCGAACTAATACCTTAATACAGTCACAAAATTAATGATCAGGAGTTATCGACTGATAGCTTACATGTTGATATAAAACATGTATTCTGTTTTATGATTCCGTACTTCTAAATTGAAGAATTATGACAAACCCTCTTTATTTACAGGATAAACCGATAAACGAGCAAATGGATCACCTGATCTTGATCTTAAATAATCGGCGCCGCCCATGGACAAATAAAACACTGGAGGCGTTACAAGTTCGCTACCGGTCCTTTGGGGATTAGCAATTTAATGATTATTGGGGCTTATTTAAATGAGGGTTATAGTTTATATAGTTTACCAGCCGAGGCTCAAAATCTATTGATGGTGATGAAATGAATGTTAATCAAAGACAGTAAAATAAAATAGAGACTCACCCAATAACAACGTGTACGGCAGTATCGCAGACACGGATTCCACGTTGACAGCGTTCACGTCTATCAGCAGCTGCAGAATGTTGTAGGGCAACCAGCACAGAGCGAAGAGTACTGCCAGCAGTAGCAGGATCCAGGCTACTCTCTTCCTCTCCCTCACGATCCTTAGACGCTGGAATTAAAAGATAAAGTCCTTTAATAATAATTTTACAAACTACTTTTAAAAAAACCGACTACCCCCGTCTTTTTTTGGAGTTAGTTAATTAATATACTATAACATTCTCCTACACTTTTCTGAAAACGGTATCAAAATCGGTTCAGCCAATCACGAGATAATGGCGCAAAAACGTAATAACATAATACATAATTACATACATACAGGTCAAACTGAACCTTCGTCTATTTTGAAGTCGGTTTAATGTAGTCTAAAATTGTTGTCTATTGGGTATGCCGTTCTTTTTTAAAAGAAGTCATCTCTGTCATCCCCTGTGGCTAGCAGGTCAGCCTATCCTTTTCAGTCATTTTTTCTATTACATCATCAACTTTATTGCATTGATATATAGTCGAAAATCCAAAGAATCAATTTGCCAAATAACAGTAGTTGATCAGGGTAAAAATATTCTATTTAATCGCGGAAAGGTACAGAAGCAAATGTTTATTTAAATACAAGTAATAATATCTATACAGATAAATAAATTTGGAGAAGAAACACTCCAATTTGATATCTGTATGATAAAATTAGAGTGTCTACTAAGGAGGTGTAAACAGACGTTATGGAAATAACGGCTTTTTACTACCAGCATATGAATATGCGATACATAACACCAAAATAGTATTTTTAAATGTTTGTCTGTCTGTCTGTTTGAACAGGCTAATCTCTGAAGTGGCTGGACCGATTTTGACGGGACCTTTAGTGGGTTAGTGGTAGCTGATGTACTAAGAAGTAACTTTTATTATAAAAAAACAATCCTAAAATTACCTATTCCCAAGAGGCTGGTGACGCACTTGACTTATGCTATAAAAAAAATTGAAATAAATAAAATACCTAGATGAAGTCGCGGGCAAATCTAGTCTCTTTATAAAATTAACCCCAACTTTACCCCTTTTCATCTCTGTTGAGTCCAAAAGTAGACTAATAGAAAAACTATTTACGTTTCAGCTAAAAGTCTATAATAACAATTCATTCAGGCTAACCAAATATAAGTTTCAGGCAAAGATCAAACAGTGCATTGAGCCATAAACGTTTCTCAATACACGAAATAGTTTTCCGAAGCAATTTTCTCAAGTAAGTAATACAATTTGTAACATTCGAAGTGAATCGCTGAAGAACCCTTTTACTTCGGGTGTTCATTGTTATATATTGAACATGGCTTCTATAGTTATATAAATATGGCTTTTATCTCGAGTCAATAAAGTATATATTTATTAAATTGATTGACGTAGATCGCAAATATTGCTTTTGTTTTACTATTAATTTTCGTTTAGTGTTATTATTGACTGTTTTGTTAATCTTGTTTGCGCAATGGTTGATTAAGTTTATCGCTATGGAGATTAATTTCGTCATGTTTATTTATTAATATTTGGACATTAATTCAATGGATGAATGGTACGACTTGATAATATTTTATATGAATGAACACCAACCCATCTTTTGAGGCTCTTTAAAAACAATAAAACTTCGGAGTCAGCCATTTTGAAACTGCATTCAATATAACTATTTCTATGCTAGATCTAAAAAACTAATACCAACGGCAAACTACACGATTTACTATCTTCCGAAAGACGTTTCCTTCAAATTTCATATCATAAATCATGTATAAGGAAAATGTCATATTATAAGAGCCAGATTTCTCAACCAAAGCAAACTTCAACAGCCGGGAAGGAACAAGAAGATTTAATGTACATTTAAATCAATATCAACGAGACGTTACAACACATTTTACGATTACGATCGACGCTAGGTACACAAATTTAAAAATTTGATTGACGCGAATAAACCTAGGCAGCTCGCTGAGGAAATCCGAAACAAAGAATTTTATGAGCAATAAACGTCATCGTGAATTTTCTTAGAGTTCCGTATGGACGTAGTCGGAATGAGTTCTGAGTCATTGTTCTATTGATTGTAGAGTTGAGTCTTTAAAAAAACTGTGAAAGAAAATTGGCTGAGGTACCATACTTTAAAGCGCTGAATCTAAATTGGTGTCTAATATTGGTTGGCTACTGGTATATTTTCGCTTACCTAATACCTCTGAAATTATTGCTGTTTAGTAAGGTAACGAAAACCTTTGATTTTAATTAATGCATGTGACATCTATATAAATAAAAACAAATTTCCATTCGTTCCTCTCGCTAAAACTGGAAAACAACTGAACCGATTTAGCTAATTTTCGTCTCTTAATGTTTGTGAAAGTCCAGGAAAGGTCTAGAAGGTGAGAAAACAAAATTAGGCGGTACGATTTTTCGTCAGATCAGCTAGTATAATATATAGTATCATTAGAGCTATCAAAAATCTCAAGCCCGACGAAACATGACCAAAAATCAGAGCGTCGAACTTCTCAGCATTTCACCTGTTGCCTCATCCAGGGTCAGATTTAACGACCGGCAATAATGCCCACATAAACCTGTTGAATAAAGGATATCTTCTTTAATTTACTGTTGTTATACGCCATCTTGTGTTTATTTCTAGCTACACGTTATCGTCTGTTGGTAAGAGACTTTTATTAGTTTTTGAAACGAGATATATTCTCGAGCTACATATGTATGTATAGCGTGTTTGAGATCATTCTGTTGCACCTACAGTGAATGGAATAGACTTTTATCATCAAATTTTACAGAGATCGGGGAATAGAGATGGGCAGCAGCACAGTAATCACAAGTAAAAAAATCTCAGTAGTAGCACGGAGTCTGGAATTGTGCCCTGTATATGGAAATAGGCTCACCCCCTATTACATAGAACTCATAACATAAATAGTGAAAAGTAGGTGTTTTTTTTAAGGAGGGTTAAATCATGAAATGACTTCTCCCGCCTGGGTGAGGCGGGAGGGAGTGTCAGACTCTTACTGACTAAAAACCACCCCGTTCCTACTCCCGCCCTTCGAGCCGAATCCTCGGCAACTCGTTAAGTCCTCCGCGGCTCCGTATCGGCATCAGCCCTATTGGGCCCCATCCGTGGTGGCCTGATGGCTCTTTGAGTGCATGCTCGGGAAATATGGGTGTTACATTTTACAGTGATATTAAGTGCGGTATTGAGTGCACATCTGCCTACCCCTTCGAGGATAAAAGACGTTATGTTATGTTATTTAATTTTATAAATTAGTTTGTCTGATAAAGAGAATTAAATATAAAGTAATATCTAATCTATTAAGATTTTCAAACAATTAGTATAATATTGTATTATATTTTAGAATTAGTCATGGTAAATAATTTATTTCCAGGAAACAGGATTCCAATTATTTCTAACTTTTATAACAAATCACAATCCGATAAGTAAGTAGAAAATAAATCATCCCACACACAGCCGCAAGGCACACAACTGTTTCTGAACAAAATAAGAAATCTATTACACGCTCATAAGTAGTTACCTCTATTTGGTATACGACTAAACGGTTTTTTTATACCATGGCTAAAGGGCAGACGGATCACCTGATGGTAAGCAATCGGCGTCGCCCATGGACACCTGGAACATCAGAGGCGTTACAAGTGCGTTACCGGCCTTTTGGGGATTAGGAGTTGAAGGACAGTTGGGGATTCAGGAATTGGGGAGATTTGGGAAGGAGAGGGTAATTGGGCCTCCGGTAACCGCACTCACATGACGAAACACAACGCAAGCGTTGCTTCATGTCGGTTTTCTGTGAGGCCGTGGTATCACTCCAGTCGAGCCAGCCCATTTGTGCCGAAGCATGGCTCTCCCACACTTCTTTTTTACATGCGCCTTGTCGACCCTTTATAAACCTATTTACTCATTTCTTGAAGAATCCCATATTGTAGCCTACCGGGAAAACTTTGGCATTCGTCAAGCTTTATAAACCACTTTGTCATGGTATAGCTTTGTATGACTGTTACGCACATTCAAAGGTCAGTTTATATTGGTTATTGATAATCAATAGCTCAGCGTATAATAATGTACCAGGTAATAACTTTATTAATATCTGACATAGAACAATTACTAGGAAACATGGACTAATTAAACTTTCTGGGAACTTAAAACTTTATATTGAGAAGACGCCGAGCTAGTTCTCATCATGGAGCAATTTGGGAATTTTGGAAGCCTATTAACATTTTTTTTACAAAAAAATGGGGCAACGTATAGTAAAAAAACTACACGTAGGATTTTCTCCTGTGTCGTAGGTGCGTTTACAAATATACAAGTTCAAATACACATGACACCCAGACCCAGAACAATAGTTTGTGGATCACGTAAAGGATTGCTCCGTGAGGGAATCGAACCCACAACACGTTTCGCGGCAGCCGGTTGCCCAGCCACCGCACCAACCGTGCCATTGATATTTGTATACTACATTATTATATACAACTAGTTACTTCCATGCTGTTTTAACAGCTCTACTCAACTCCTATTCGTCGTATTGTGATGTTTAACACTGCTATCGAACACAAAAAATAATAATTCAATTTGGATCAGAAGTTCCCGAGATCAGCGCGTTCAAAGACAAAAACAAACACTTTAACTTTATTTACTACTAATAAATAAAAGTAGTATAGAATATAGACTAACAGGCATGATTCTAGTCTTTGGAATACCAAAAAGAATCCATAGCTTAAATAAATAAATTAGTATATTTCACCTGATACAAATGAATACAGTACATAGTCCGCGTGAGAATGTAACTGCGGTATTAATAATGTAATTATACGGTAGTTTAGTCGACCATTGTCAATAAAATTAATTAATTTACAGTAAATTAATATACTCTCATTAGTTTAACCGTCTGATCTGTGCGGTATGAACTTTGACTGTTTTTAATTAATGGCTTCAGTTGTTCTCATATTATATTGAATTTTGTGCTAAAATATTGCCTAAAACGTCAGATCTAAAGAAGTAATATAAATAAAGTTATTTACTTGTATTGTAACTTTCGTGAGACATACTAAATAAAATCTTATGTTTTCGGTTAATAATTTGACGAGGAACTCGACTAGTTTCAAGCCATGCTAGAGGCTCATATTCATGAGCAGCATTTCGCGACACGCGACACTACTGGCTACTGTCGCGCTGCTACTGTCAAACAACTGCAACTGTACAAACTAGTCGAGTTCCTCGTCAAATTAATACGTGAGTAAGCCGAAAACATAATAATTTATATTTACTGTTTCTTCGTCATTAAAATTCTCGCTCTGACGTGTAACACTGTTATAAAATAGCATGCTAAAAAGCATTGTATTGAGCAAGCGTTCTATGCACGCTTATTCATTCGCAAGAATGTCCTAAATGAGCATGCTAATTTTGAGCAGCAAAGTTAAAGCCAAAGTCAAAGTCAAAAATTATTTATTTGCGTAAATAAGGTACAGATAGTTTGTCATTTTATAACAACTTAGGTCGTCTGATTTTGCCTTCAACATCGGCGTACAAAAATATTGTAAAACTCATCAATTTATGTTTTTTTTTTAATTTATTGTATTTTTCTACGTAGTTGTATCCGGGCCCTTGTCATATTAAAGTTACATTGTTTTCCTGGTCAAATAATTAATTGTTATGAAGATCATACATGCTACGCTAACCGCTAATATCACTACACAGAGTACTTGATGTTGTTACCTAATTATTATAATGTTACACTAACCCTACTGAATCAGCCTACCAGCACGATGAGCGACCCAACCTGCTCCAGCAGAAGAAGGGTCAAATTTATGTTGGAATGCTATCCCAATGAAAGAAAATAAATACTATAAAATTTATATAAAATTAAAAGAGAAAAATATTACAAAACTAATCATAATTGTCATTAAGCAATCCGACATAGTCGTGGTGGCCCGGAGGTTTAAGACGCCCACTTCTCATGCATGAGGGTGCGGGTTCGAAACCTACCAACGGCAAGTACCAATGTGACTTTTTCCGAGTTATATGTACTTTCTAAGATTATTTAGACACCACTGACAAACGGTGAAGGAAAAACATCGTGAGGAAACCTGGACTTATAATTTCTAATTATAAGTTTGAAATCGCCAACCCGCATTGAGCAAGCGTGGTGATTAACGCTCTAATCTTCTCCGTGTGAGAAGAGGCTTTGCTCAGCAGTGGGCACTTATAGGCTGTTGATGATGATGATGATGATGAATCAGACATACGTGCTACTAAGGGGCATGTGCTCAATTGAAGTATATTATCGTGCTTGGAATTGGCATGTGTAACAATACTTTAAGGTTAGAAACAGCCAGAGATAAGTAAAGCATTTGTTTATTTTCATCATCAACGTAATAACTACAAAAGTTAACTACTGAAAGTAATATTCTTTAATGACGTCTAGATCAGCCGGTTGGATTATCAAATACTTTTTACTGAAATTGAAAAAAAAATTGCATAAGTATTTTTAAAGACAAATATATGTTCCAAATTTCAATCCAATCCCTTCAGCCGTTTTGACGTAAAGCAACAAACAAAAATACAAACTTTCATATTTAAAGTATTGTAGTAAAAATTGCATTAAAGATTATTTTCTTAAACCTATGACAATAAAGTAAAGATCATAATTACTTATATTAAGTATTAGACACGTGGCCATTTTCAATCCATACTTTTTTATCAAAAACAAACACGAAAAGGACAAAAGCAAACAGTTTTTAGATTTTTTCAAAAATCGACAATCACTATTAGAAAACCCAATCTGCAAACATATTTCGTACTGAGAAAATATTTGAACTGAATAGAATATCCAGTAATGGGGAGTTGGGACGTACACAGGGCACATCAAGTTATAAAATCCAGTATATCATGATCTCGCTTTGTAGTATCATTGCATCATTAGACAGCCAGCTTATACTGGTTTGTACAGCTTGACGTGTAGCCATGTATCTAGCAAAAACAAATACGCTATATTGTTTCATGAGCCCTATTGCGATGCTTGTGAACAAATATTTGCCAAACACACAAATGTTTGTTGGTGATGATATTAAACGTCTTGTTTAAAATATCTTGTGTTTAACAAGAGGATATGAGAAACAGGGGCTAAGGGGACCATATTCCAAGGTCTTTTGTTATGAATTAAAATGACGAATACTGTGATATATTTTGAACTGATTCCAATTTATGACTCAATGATACAATATTTTGTAGGTACTCATTCTAATAATAACATGAATTCATTTAATTTCGTAATAACCAACTTACATTTTAACATCATAAATTATCATATCGGTAATTGAAACAGTAATTATTTCCGATTTATCCCAATTTCGTAGAAAAGCTTATTATCATAATGTATTAAAATGTATGGTTAAAATAACGCATTGGAAATTGTACTGCATATAAATTTATTGAAATTGATTTATTATTTTAAGACAATAATACCTTTGATGACTATTGGACGTGGTCATTCCGCATTATCCAAAGGTTTGGATGGAAGAGAATGTGTATGGCATTAGGCCCACCTATGCATTTATTTTTGTTCATCAAGGCTTCTTTTTGAAGGGGGAAAATCATCGAATAACTTCTTCCGTCAGGGTGAGTAGGGAGTCTCTTTGTATCCAATATTTTCCCGTATTTTCAACTATATATCGTCTTAAATAATCAACGGCATGAATACATACATAACTTCACGCCTGTCTCCCATGACGGTAGGCAGAGGCTATGGAACGTCAATTGCTACGATGCTTACATACCTCTTTCGCTTCACCAACAGTCAACAATCTTTTAATCCATGTCGGTTAAGGGTATTTTAAGTTTAACATTTATACTTTTACATACCTGTTGGCTATTAGCGCTGCCCTCCGTCTGGTCGAATGGAGGTAGCACGGAGCACAGCCTCCGCCCCATCAGAGAATACGATACCACCACTATGCAGCCTGAAAAGTGAAATAACGATTTAACATATTGCATGTTAACAGTTAGATTATAATTGATCATAGTATCATAGATCATAGAGACTCGTTGGCCGAGTGCTCCCAAATGCGACTGATCGGATCTCGGGTTGGAATCGGCTGGGTCGGACAAAGTATTACTGGGTTTTTAAAAGCAAATCCACAATCAATCATAAACAATCCAACGAAATGAGATAATTTAACATGATAATAAATATAACCTATATATTTCCAGCTACCCAGAAGCAAAAAAATATGTTACATTACCCTAATTTAACGTATATAGAGTACAAACAAATACACATTAACATTTATATATTCTTCAGTATGTATGACTAATTCGAATAATCAGGTTACCGAGCCACCATCATTTGCAACCTTATTTATATAGAGATACAATAATAATTCAAAGAAAATATTTCTATCGACATCGGATATTAAATTAATTTGTTTTATAGAATGATATCGAAGTTATTGCTTTACAGCGATGAGTAACACAGCCTTTCTTTGTAGTATTACTATGAACAGAAATATTTTGGGACACAATTTAATTTTTTGCTCAGTCTCAGTGCTTTTAGCTACTTCTGCCAGTAAAGAGGTGGAATATTTAGTTTTACGCTGAAGTAAACAATATTATTTAATAAACAATAATAGAATTACCTGTAGGTTGTGTAGCTCTGATAATTTCGGTGTTACAAGCAAAGTAACAACGGCTAAATAATTAAATTGTTATAACTATTGTCTTTTTTTCTAAGGGGGTATAATCATCTAATAAGTGCTCCCGCCCGGGTCTCTTACTGACTAAAAAGCACCCCGTTCCTACTCCTGCACTTCGAGCCGAAGCCCCGTTAACCCGTTAATTTCTCCGCGACATAACTACTGTCTAGCTTGAGATTAAGGTTCAATATTATAAGTAAGTAAGTATTTTGTTTGACATTCGAAAGTGCCTTACTGGATAAAAGTAAGAAAATGTTATAACCCGGTTACCAAAATTATTGAACATAGAATGATTTCTACAGATACACAACGTGGGAGCCACAACGAATACAATTAGTACACCGCGACCTATTCCTGAATGACATGTAATATTACAATATAACACCATCTAATTACGCAGCTTCCTATTCCAGGAAAGATTGTAATCAGAAGTAATTATGGTACAAAGATATAAGGAGGTCCCTTGTCACCTACTAATGTCGCTGCCATTTGACCTCGCATTATGTAAGGGGAAACCGTGTGTAGAAGCCACATCTAACAATAATTAGTTAACTGAGCTTTACTTAAGATTTTAAGCCGATGGTAAAAATGATGCTTTGACCGTATTGTTTTAAATACAATACATTATACATTTATACATAACTTCACGCCGGTCTCCCATGGGAGTAGGCAGGAACAATGGAACGCCAATTGCTACGATTTTTACATTCCTCTTTCGCTTCATCGACAGTCTTGTCATGCATGCTCGTCGGTCTCGTCAGTACATGCCCTAGACGGACATATACTGACCAGATTGACGATAAATTAAACAAAGGCCAAATTAAAAGTACTTATATGTATCTAATACAGGGCTCGTACACAAAACTGCGAATTCGCAAGTTCTTGCGATGCATAGATAGAGTTCGCACATTTTTGCGATGCGGTATATCATCGCATCGCAGTTTTTTGTACGAGCTCAAAAGACGTTTTTCAATTCATTTAATAAAACAAATCACTTGTTGTCGATCACTACTTAACATCATTAATTAATTTAATATTAACAAGCCAGTCATTAATAAAAGTATTAATTAACTGGGATTTAAAAAATCATGTTTAAGTTTTGCTTCGATTTTTTGATACTTCATTAATGGAACTTTGTTTGCGAACCTTGAAATTAAACTCACATTGAATATTAATTCCATCCAAGTAACGTTATGAAATAATATTTTGTGCCGATAAGAAATTAAGTTATACATCGAGAAACACACGATGTCTGTCTGTGTTTTCAAAGACACAGGCGATGTTACTTTAGGAAATTACTTGCTCTGACTGTTGCTAATACTCCAGACTGCAAATAAACTAACTTAATTAATTTCTAGATATGTGTTCTAGAATCTTCCTTTACATGCTATATTATGATCTTCCTTAACTAATACATGTATACATGTACCTGATTGTACCTATCTAAATAAGTAAATGGAAATCTTTTTTAAAAAACTGCAAAAATATCACTTTTAAGCGCTTCTTAGTGCCTGAAAGTTAAACTTTGAAGTATGAATTACTTCTTTTCAAAGCAATTGTGAAGGTTCCGATGCAAAAAATAAAGTTATTTGTTTCTAGTTTCTTCTTGTACTTTTACTTTACTGAACGTGAACACTGAACATAGTTCAAATTTCAGAAGTCTTCCTTGTCTAAAAGGAATCCTAAAAAATTTTGGCATTACGACTTTACCATGAACCTATTAATTTATCACTTGAACCTAAAATCATGAAAAGACTTCTATATTGACAAGACGACGTAAATAAAGTTAGAAGGAAAAAAAAATATATACATTATCTTTGAAGAGTTCTATTTTTCGTTTGAACCGTTTCCACATAATTTGAGCGATATACAAACATGACATATCCGGGGAAGACGTCCAAATTCCACAATATCAAATCATGTAAACGTTCTCCGTTATAGGGGATGGAAAATATATATTGTACAACAAATGTTATTTCGTTGTTTACGTAGTATTGTTTGTTGCTTCTTCTCGTGAATTCCAAGAAGACTTTTGGGTTATTAAAAAGCATTTTCACTACCAATTTAGTGTCTCATAATATGAATCAACATTTGGTGTGATGAGTGGTAATCAACTATCGTTGGGCCATTTCAGACGTCTAAGGAATGGGACAATGTCACCCAACTCACATAAGTGTGAGCGAGAGGACTGATAAAAATGGTGTATGACAGTTCGCTCGACTATAATAGCCCAGCTCTAGTTCGTTGTATGATTATACTATAGTCATAACAATTACTCTGTCGAAAAGCTGAGAAGTTGTAAAATACCATTTGGAAAAAAAAACGTTATGATTTTCGTTTTTAATTTTTTATTGAACATGTTTTTCTTCATTCATCTTTCCTACTACAATATTCGATCAATAAATTAACAGTAATATAATATTCTTAATGCGAGAGAAATGAAACTTTGTTTTTGTTTAAATTTCGCGTCAAAATTTTCCCTGGAAAATTAATCAAAATTTTACAAGTAATGTAAGCAAAATGTTCGTTTAGAAAATTATGAAAGACGGAACGGTTGCTCCGAGTCGAGTATTTCCTAATGAGCACTTATTTGTTTCATCAGAACTTCAAAGGATACTCAAGTAAGTAAGCAGCTGAATTTATTCTAAAAATAAATTGTATTTATTTAAGAATTATCACCCTGTGTTTAATTGAATCTATTTCTGTGTGAATGGTAATACAACGTTTTGTATTAATTCTAATATGAAATAACGATCATTAATTTAAGTGAAAGGACAATTTATGTTTGAAATGTTACGGAGATTATTTCTTGGTATTGAAATTTAACGGTTTACAAGAGTTTTACCTGTAAACGGTTTCTAGATAAATATTATAAAATTATGGCCTTTTGTCAAAGTTTAGATAACAACCACTTGTATATTGTTTTCTTATCTTACTAAAACCTTTTCCAAAAACTCAAATTTCTCGAATCAACATATAAAAAAGTACGTAAATAAGTTTTATCATATAGTTAGTACTTTTCTTATACCAGTAGATACATGATATAAATATTTCCTTTATAGACAGAATTGAAAATGAAGTGTATCTTAGTACCTATGTATATTATTAACGTACTTATTCCATGAAGTAAAACTTCACCAACTCCAAAACAAAACAAATTACTTAAAGTTGAGTGAACAAACTCGGATGTTAGGAAATATTAATGTAGACATTACTTGTGTGACGTCATTACGAATTTTCTTATCGAATGTATTGATTCTCATTTAGTTTTTGTTATACACGCTCTACACAGGTATGTGGCACAGATAAAATAGCACAATTTTCTGGTGTTTCAGGTGTCCAAGGGCGACGCCAATTGCTTACCATCATGTGATCCGTCTGCTCGTTTACCGACTTATGCCATAAAAACAAAAATAAATAAATAAAATAAAATGTCAGTGCTACCAATGTGAACACAGAAGTGAATAAACATTTGCGCGCATGTATGGCGCCGGCTTTATATAGAATATTATTTATTTTACCCGTTTCTTTTTTTTGCGCCGGCTATTATTCTCACTGCATGAAGTAGAGGTTAACAAGAAATAATTTCTTGTAGATAGACATCTGTCTATTGCTTTTTTAAATTTATCAAACCTTCAAGAAAAGAGCGAATCCTTTTTAAAAGGCCGACAACGCACCTGTGGCTACTCTGGTGTTGCAGGTGTCTATGGGCCGCGTTGATAGCTTGCCATCAGGTGATCTGTTTATTAATTTACGTCCTATTCCTAATTTAAAATAATATATATATAAATCTATTTATTTCGTTCCCAGTACTCATGGTCCATAAGGTCTCCAGTATGAAAGTGAGATGAGAGGAACTAGTTCGCCGTGTTTAGAAAAATGGGTATCATATTTTAATTTGTTTATTATGTACATTATATTGTAACACGACTTTTTATAAAATGTTTATATAACAACCTATTTTATTCTGAAAAAGTATTATTTTATCCACTCTTAAGAATAACATTTTAAATTTAACGGCCACGTGCCACCGCCGTATTGGACTCCGGTAGCTATCATTAAGCTCACGACCATTAAATACAAGCACGTGAAAGATATTAATGATCATCACAGACAGACAATTGTACATGTTACAAATAAACTTTATATATTCTCTTTTATGAAATTGCCATAACATATAATTCCATAGAACATACTAGTCATCAACTTTTATTGTGAACATTGATTTACATATTGTTTATGCCTAATGGAATAAAAAACTTGGTTTTGCTTAAGGACATACGTATACTTTTTTTGAAATCATATTAGAAGTTTTACGTTGTTTGCATTTGAACTACTAGCTATTAAGAAACATCAGGTACCGCTTGATTATAGAGTTACCCTATTGGTAACCCTAAAAAGGCAACCTACAAGATAATACAAATAAAAATTCAATATAAAGTATAATACAAATCTGTAAAATTAATTAACTTCACTACGTCTCGACAACAGACTAGCTTTAAATTTCGTACCTTTCGACGCCTACGTCCGCTACGAGCTACGGGCTACGAAATCACGTAGCAAACTAAGTGATTCGAATAAAATAAATAAGATTCAGTGAACAGCTGTTACGTGAAGTCAGCGCTAAAATAAACTAGTTACCGTTTCGCTGTTACAGATATTTTGTTAGAAAAACAGAGAATAATGGAGTTATTGTTGAAACGTGATCAAAATGAAATAAGAACAAATATGAATTATTTACTATTACAATGCAGATGACTAGGTTATTGTATATTTTAGTAGATAAACGTATAAACAGCAGTGGAATTCTTCAGTTTTGTAAATTTTATTATAAAGAAATATTTATATGAAAATGTCCATACCTAATTTATTTCAATCGTATTTTGATGAACCATAAAATAAAAGAGATACAAATATAACAAGAAGAATCGCACGCTACCTAACCCCATAATCGAATTGAGTTAGATAAATCGAATTGGAAAAGTAAAATTAATTTTACCTCCCTTCACACGCAGAAGTAATTTCCGAAATTTCCGACATATTCGGGCTCGCCAGGCCGTGTAATAATAACGGGTGACAAATGACCTACTCTTGTCCCCACAGACCTATTTTTACGGTAAAATCGGAAAGGTACTAGATTTTCTTTTCTCAATATACTTTTATTCGACACGTGTCGCAGAAACCTTAGTATGACTAACTGTAAGGAAGAAAAAAGTGAGATATATGTAGTAATTTCTACAAGTGAACTAAAAACAATTTAGAAAATAAAATATTTAAACATATTTAATTTAAACTTTCTTTGTAAAGTTTTAGGTTACATACCTTATATGATACATTATCTATCTTTATATTGTCGTATCACAAACTCTCAAACATAGAGCTGTTATACAACTTAATGTAATATGTATCTACTTCAAGACAAGTTATGAAAGTTTTCCGAATTAGATTGCATTCAGGTTCTTTAATATATACATGTATAAAATCACGCCTTTTAGCTCCGAAGGGGTAGGCAGAAGTGCACATTACAGCACCTAATGCTACTGTACGATGTAACATCCACTTTTTACTATTTATGTTATGAGTCCCATGTAATAGGGGGTGAGCCTATTGTCATATACCGGGCACAATTTATTCCAGACTTCGTGCTACTACTGAGATGTTTTTAAAAAAAAACCTAGTAATACTTTGTCTGACCCGGGAATCGAACCCGAGACCCCTTGCTCGGCAGTCGCACTAGCAACCACTTGGGCAACGAGGCAGTTATTTAAAAATATCGGTGAAATAAATGAATATTTCAAGAAAATATTAGAGTAGTCTAATGACAATGAAGCCACTGTGTGAAAACACAAAATCAGTGAAGTTGCTTGAACACTTGAATATTTAACACTCACCGGGCACAGCATACACTAGGACGAAACTGAACGCTCCAAACAATTCCTTTTTTATTGAGTCCGGCCATTTTTCTGTGCAAAACTCGATGCTGCGCTCGACCCAAACCTGTGTGGACAAAGTGCTGGTTTAAAATGCAAATTTAAACAAACAAAAAAGGTTTCAATTCCATGAATGCTCTCTGACGAGTTCATTCATTCACGCGTAAAGGATCTAAATTCACAAGCCGCTAGACATGAAACTAAAATGTCTCTCACTGATTAAACAAAAATGAATCATTTAAGTTTGAATTAGCAACATATAAAGTTTATAACCATTGATAATGTTGATATTATTATACCCAATTTTAACAAAAAATATTTAACAGTTATGGAACTGTAGTTTATTCATTTATTTATATAACGGGATACTTATTATGTAATATATCAGACTGAGATTGATTAATTGACTGCACGGCGCTAATAATCTTAAACATAAAAAACATAACATCACGCCTATTATCCCCGAAGGGGTAGGCAGAGGTGCACACAGAAGTAACACCCACTTTTCACTATTTATGTTATGAGTCCCATGGGGGGTGAGCCTATTGCCATATACCGGGCACAATTCCAGACTCCGTGTTACTACTGAGATTTTTTAAAAAACCCAATAATACTTTGTCCGACCCGGGAATCGAATCCGAGACCCCTTGCCCGGCAGTCGCACTTGCGACCACTCGGCCAACGAGGCAGTCTAATAATAATAATAATCTTATGGGCAATATATGTATATAAACAATGAGATAGCCATCATTTAGCTTACACATTCATTTATTCATTCATTTTCAATGCTTCAAAGCATACTAGAGCATTATTCTGCAGTGCAACGTCATATATTATGCATGTACTTGTAACATAGTACGAACAGTCACCTTAGGGAAATATTACACAGTCGTTCCTAAACGTAGTAAAATGAAAGTTTGTGTACGTCGACGGCTACACATCAAGTTATACGAACCAGTATAAACTGATCGTTGAATGTGCAGAAAGATTATATAGAACGAGACCATAATAATCTGGTTATGTTTAACTCGATGTGTAGTTGTGACTACCAACCCTATCCATACAAAAGCCACTCCGCTCTTTTATGGTCGAGTAAAACCGTTTGACCTACAAGTAGTTATACTGTTAGGGTTGGCCACAATAATTAGCAGTTATGAGGATATTTACTTTTATAATAAAGAGGTATTGCGTTGTTTGGGGACCGTTTTGTGGTAAGGAGAGCTTCATAATCACATAAATGGTATTTTCTATAAAAAATAATGATCTAATTCTACTGACTCATTTTATACGTAAGGTTTTATACGTAATGTAGGTATAAAATCTCTTTAAATCTGTAATTAAGACACAAGATGATGATAAAATTAAATCTGTGACTGCTGATAGGAAACTGTAAAAAGCAAATCTTCCGCTATGTTGTCCCCCATGGCGATCAAGATGTTACGAGCCATTTCATACTGTTTTTAAAGAATAATTTTATAAGAATAAGGTTTAATAGCAACATGATATCTTTGTCTATATACATACATACGCAAAATGGTTTTTATAAGCCCACGTATAATAAGAAGTCAGGTTTCATAGAATATACAAATTGTTTCATAAGTCAGTTACAAAACTCCCACAAGAAATATATAACACTTGAAAGTTATGATAATACACTGAAATAAATATCGAATACAATTGACAATAAGTACCTAACTTTTAATTGAAGCTTCGGTTTTGTACACATTTCAATAACAAAAATTCATATTGAGAGAGAAATATACGTGTCGTTTTAACAAAAAATATTGTACATTTTATGGGCCTTTTTTGGAATCAGTGAGAGATTACTACGACGAGAGCAAACGGCTCAATCGTAGATAATAATTTACTAAAACATTTCTATCGCTTAAGTTTATCACTTTTTGTCCGAAATGGTATAGAAAAATTGTATTTTTTTTATGAAATATATTTCGCCAGACAGTACTCTAAACGTCACAATACAATTGCGTAGAAAAATAAAGAATAGTACGTAAAAATGTAACCAGTTTTCGCTTTTATCTAATTTCAGTTTGTAAATAAAAAGTGTCAATAAAAAGCCGATTTTAAAAATATTATGATAAGTACTAACATTTTTATTTTAAATGAAAAGTAAACGAAACGGTGTATCTCTGAAACTATATTCAGCCTGAGTAAGTCATTGGCAAACTGAAAAATGTATGACCGTCAATCCCTAAAAAGCCACAATGTTATCGACCTATGTTATATCTACTGAGAACGAGATATCAACTTTATGTTTTTTAACGTCAGCTTAGTGTTGTTGTAACAATCTTATCAATGTCAGGTAAAATTATTGTTACCAGTCTCTCATAGGAAAACTTAGGAAATGGCAAGAAGAAAATGAAGCAATCAATTTAAGCACAATAATCACAGATTCAACCACAAATAAATGGTTTTCTGTATATGAGTACAAATAAATTTACTTTTCTATTTTCAGCCATCTGTTTTCTATTTTCATTGCAGCATCTACGTAGCTGACAGGCTAATATTTTTATCACGACATTAAAATTCCCCTAACTGTGTCAACAATTTTCCTGTATATTTTGAAGCTTGGACTGAAAATAGTATCTGATGTTAGTTTATAACTGGGTATAAATTGGTTGTGGTAAAAAAACTATTAGTTTTTTATTGGCAAAGACTAAATGGGTTTCGTTTATTCACAAAATATGAGACTGGACACACTGATGTAACTTGTCGGTATAAATAAAATTGGGGTGTCTTTTGTAATAATAAAATAACCGCTGTTTATTACATGCATATGAATATACATACCAAAATGTATTTTCTTTCTTTCTTTCTTTCAAAATAACATTTTTTAAAATTTTTGTCTGTCTATCAATCTGTTTGTATTGTCTATTTTCTGGAATGGCAGGACCAATTTTGCAAAACTTTTATTGGCAGGTAGCTGATGTACTAAGGAGAAACATGGGCTACTTTCACATTGGAACATTGAAACAAAACAAAAGAAATGTTCTAAAATTCATATTCTACGCGGACGAAAGCGCGGACAACAGTTAGTACTGAACGAAACAGAATTTGGTTAGTAGCCAAGCAAAGACAGAAGATACAAACAAGTACTACATTTTTTTAATAATTTTCTAGATCTCTCTCTACCAATCAAGCCCTGACATTTGATATAAATAATGAAAGTAGTTGTTGAACGAATTAGATAATATTATATGGTCATTAACATTAAGAGTGTGTACCAAATATCAGATAGATCTGTTATCAGGATAAAATACCAATGACCAAATATGACCCAAACAAACAAATGGAGCTAGCTAAATAATACTGTTTATAAATGAAAACTACTCGTATTTGACCTCAATGACTAGGTCTGGCACAGCTTTCTAAATTATAATAGGCCACCGATATATCAGATAATAACTTCGCTAATTCAATTAGTTAGGACATCGTAATACGTTCACAAATTCAATTCAAAAGATAAAGATAACTTAAAAGTTTATCAAAGGGTTCTAGTTAAATAACTTTGCAGAAAGAGTTCTTGGCATGACTACGTAATGCATTAATCTAGAAACTTGAACTTGACTGAAGTTTTTCTTTAAACATTATCATGACTTCTATTACTCGTGGACATTTGTAGGGTTACCTTTTTTGTGAAATAGGAGACAAACGAGCAGACGGATTACCTAAATCAGCGCCGCTCATGGACACCCGCAACACTAGAGGAGCCACAGATGCGTTGCCGGCCTTTTAACAAGGAATATACGCTAATCCATGTCACAAAATAATGAAAAACCGTTTATGTGATAATAATAGGGTGGTGGATAACGAGTTTGCTACCGAATTTTGTTCAAAAATATACTACTGTAAACTTAGCCATACTTTATATTACTTTAGCTATGGAACACTTCCACCGGTTATATACATAGCAACTATACAGTAGTTGAAGAAAAACGTCTCTTTGTTCCCTAATAAACCCAATTTGTTAACTAATAAGACGTAATATCGAAGAAGTAAGCATTATTGCTTTCCGTATTAAAGCTTAAATCCTCCCTCCAACCTTCTTATGAGAAAATAGTAATGAGAAAAGGAGTGATCCTTCATTTACTATTTCTATAACTTTCTATACATTTATATTTCAGGATATAGTTGCTATAAAATTCCTATTATATAAATATCCTTATTACTTATTTTACATTGATTAATTAGGCAGAAGCTAGTATATTATAAAGCTATTTCTTGTAGCCTGTTGTAAGACCACAAAGCTGACAACGGTTTTAATTAACACCGTCATTTAAATCCTTGTGCCCTGTGGAATTTGTGAAACTGGTGTTAAATAAAACATACAAATCATTTAAAACATTTATTTTATATTTACATTTAATTTTATTGTTTTCCTAGTACTAGCTTTAAGTATGCGAATGACAACATTAGTGCACGTATTTGTAATAAAAAAATACAGCAAGTTAATATAGCTACGACAGCGTAGCACTCGTAGCGATTACTGCTACGACGTAGCAACTTCGAAGAACCTACAATGTTTGAATTTTGTCGTTTTACTAAACTTTTGTGGGGTAAATTACTAAGTACATACCCACTACAAGTTGTAGTCTAAGAAAGGGATAAGTTAAACACTTAACCACTAAGCTCTAATACTTAAAGCTCTACAAGGAACTTGTTGACAATCTCTTCAGTTTGCCTGTATTGTCAACAATCTAACATTGGATTATTAATCTCTTGGGACGAGACTTTATTATAATCAAAGAATAATTTTTATGATGGATATTTTATGCAAATATAAACTTTGACAATGTTTAAACAGATAGAAATAAAAATTATTTCAATTAGTTGTTGAAACTTTACAGACGAGATTGAGTTTAAAAATAATTTACGCAATGTATATTGATTCTTTTGTAGTTCAAATTCTTCAAAAACAAGAACTATATTTAAACAGTTATATAGCACAAACTTATGTTTAAGTTTCTATGTCCTAAAATATTGACCCTATCACACAATAGCGAGTGAACATATTCGTATGAACGTACGTCATATCTCTTACAATTGACG